TTAATCAAGAACAATTTAGCTTCCCCTGCTCAGCGCTGGCGCTGAGGCAGAGAGCCGTAATTGGAAAAGACAGGTCAGGAGGAAAACAAATTAAACTTTCAAAAGCCTGAGGTCAGAGCTGTGGGGCAACACACCTTTCTTGAATCCTCTCCGGGAGTTGGAGGGGGGGTGGGGGGGGAGCTTTTTTGGGGCACAGAAAGAGTGGGGATGGCCTTTAAATGCCTTTACTACAGTGAAAGCATTTTTTACAGACCTTGGTCCCTGCCTGCCAGATCGTAAGGCTGTCAAATAATCATGACGTGTCAGAGTTTCTGACAGGCTTGTGGTAGGGTGTGTGTGTGTGTCTGTGTGTGTTTATCATGGTTGGACCTCTGTGCCATATGTTTATCACAGAGTACAGGAGGAACAGAAAGTAAAGGCTTTTTTTCCCCACTGTAACTCTCGTCAGACTGCAGTCACACTGACCTGTCACCCTGCCCTAGGCTCTGTGAGTTGCCTTGGCAACACAACCTGTGACCTCACACACCAACAATTCCCTCTCTTTCTTTCTTTTTCTTTCTTTTCTTTCTCTTTCTCCAACTCACACACGCTCACACATATGCTTTGTGGTCGCAGTACCAGCCAGTGAGGCGCCCAAACCTCCTCACCCTCTCATGACCTTACCCAACACACGAGCAGTCATGGCAACCAGGCACCAATCACATGATAGTACGAAAGTACGCATTATTCACACCATCACAGGGACCACATAAGAATCAGGCAGAGTGCTACGGTTCTGAGAGCAAGATGATACAAGAGAACTCAGGCCTGTGTTTACGCATATACACACGCATACAGAAACCCTCACTTTTTCAGTCCTGGGGACAAAATAGTCATTTAAGACTCATTAGTGCAGTCTCTGCCCCTCTCAAGCACTGTTATTGTGCTTTCTGCATTTGTGTGTGTGTGTGTTTCAACAGCGTGGTGTTCTGTTTAGTGAATGCGGTGGAAGCCTTCAAATGAAGCCTGTACCCACTAGGCAATGACAAGATTACAGGAAAAGCTTTAAATAGCCCTCGGGCACAGCTCCTGTCCATTCTCAAAGCAGACTTAAGGCCAGCCTTGGCTGTCCTTTTGTGCTTAAATTAGTACAAGACCAACACAGAAACCAAAAGCGTATTAGGAGAAGAGTAGGTGCTCATTTTGACCAAGCGATAAAGATCACAGTTATGGTACGTGGCCACTTGCAGCTTTCAATGGATAGATCTGCTGGATTCTCACTGAGCATGACAGTTGTGGCAAAGCAAAATCTGCCTTGCATGTTGCGAAAAAGGTCAGCACATTTCTGCTTTATGCCAGTAAGTCCAACCCTTACTTCGTGCTTAGCCAGTTGAGCATGAGTTCACTAGTCTTCGTCACAAACATTAAACTTTTTTTTGCCGAAGGTAGAGAAGGAAAACAATTGCTCTCTTTGTCTTATTTGAGTCCATATCATAGCAAGAAAACATCTGGATTTAAACACAACTGTTGACAGCGAAGATCTGGAGGTAAAAAGTTTGATTGGACAGTTTACATGGTTCGAGGGGGAAGGCAAAATTTAAATCATACTGAGCTCCTAGGTTACTTGCTAAGATAGCTAGCTAGTGAGATGGAGCGAGCTAACTTTCTTGCATATTCTTAATCTTGGTAGTATAAACCACCAACATATAGTGTGATGTAATGCTTGTTAGATTCGAAATGAAACAGTAGTAGCAGTGTTTGTATTCCCTGAACTCAGCTCAGCCATAACAGATAAAAACATTCCAAAATGAGCAGAGCTCTGTGTAGTTTAGAATTGCTGCAGGGAATGATTTAGTGTAGACTGTATCTGACCCTCAGCCAAGGAGCTGGCCTTTAAAATTAATAAAAGGATCTGAATTAATACTTAAAGCGGTGAATAATTTAACGTCTGACTTTGAACAAGGTGTAGAGTAGATAATTTGGCACTGGAGTGAAGATCTGCACACTGTGTAATGGTATGATAAATCAATAAAATATCGCTCACCCTCTCTATCCCTGCAGGAAAACTGGAACCTTTCAAGATGGCTATCCTACTTTAATTTAAACACACAGAGAAGCACACACACACAGGAGGTGGAATCTGGCATGGTGCATTGCGTTGCACACACTTATTCCTTTCTAATACGCAATCAGCCAATTTATTTTTATTTTGGTCAATCTGTGTTGCAGTTTTTGATGTAGCAGTTTAAACCAAGTACATGGGCTGCATTTGAATGCCACTGCTATATGCCACAGCTTTTTAAAGTGTATGAAGAGCCTATGGTATTTCATCTCAGTGCCTTAATTTAGGCCACAAAGTGCAAGCTTTTGGTAAAAAAGTAAATAAAACCTGTTGCTTTAAAAATAAAAAAAACTTTGGCTAATTAAAATCAGGCAAGGAAATTTGGCTGTGGAATAGCCCACACAAATGTATGATTGGTGCACCCCTAGAGTACAACCTCTATTTTTCCCTCCTGTCCCTTACACGGAGTTGTGCTGGTGATTAGGAGGTTATGGGCGCTGCAATGTCACCTACACTGACAGTCCTGTCCCCTCCCCCTCCTTTACAACTGCAGTGGATCCAACAAGAACAAAGGAAAGTCCTTCCTGACATCCAAACAGTCTCATTAGTCAGGACAGGGACCACTCCTCACAGCAAGGCTTGTACAGTTTCATCTTTGCTCAGTGGCCATATCTGCAATTGCTTATCTTATATCAATAATACAAACAAAGACAAAGACAAAGCCAATGATTTATGTCTCCTTTTCCTTTGTATATCGCCTCACTATAAATCTGTTGCTTAAAATCTCCATCAATTAATGCACTTCAATATAGACCTGTCCTAATGGGTGTCATACCATATTGTTGCTGTAATTAATGATTGTTATTATGCCAATTTGTACAATCATTGCATACAAAGACACAATCACACACTGAACTAAAGCCAGATCCCCCAAAACATCAGTTTATTTCTCCTACTATTATGGAAGGCCAGACCTTTTGTAATAGCTCCAAGAAGGAACATGCTCTACAGCACCCAGAACATACAGACATGTAATTATGACAGTACGGTGCCACACACAGCCTGGTTGAGATGCCTTTTGCTGTGGACGGAGAAATAAATGCTAAGGACATCAGAGGCATCTTTGTGTCCCCAAATGTGGCCAGAACTTGGAATGAGAAACTATAATGCCATATTGTTTACATTTATTGTGGAATATGTTAGAAATAAACAAGTTGGTACTGTCGGTGCAGAGCCCATGATCTAGGTCAGGATCTTAATGCTTCGTCATTCTGTTAAATAGGCTGTGCAGGATGAATCAGTGCTCACGTGTGCTTATCAAAAACACTCATTCTGTCTCCTAAAAGAGAAGCAACTGATAAAAAACACTTGATAGTTCACCCCCCCTCCCCACTTCCTGCACTCCCTTATGTCAGCACAGTGTACAAGAGGAGACCACAAATCAGCCATCTGTGGAAAAACAACACACTAGCTTTCATAAAAAAGGCCCATTAAAATGATAATCCCTTTTGCAAATAGGCATAGGGGGTGGCATATTAACCTGAGACAAATGAATGACACAAACTCAGTCGAGCATGGGGCACAGCAGTGGCCACCAGCGTCCAGTGAAACTGTGCTAAGACCTGAAACCTGAAATTTGTGCGTGGAAGCACAAACCTGTTTGCATAAGAGTCAGACTGAAAGTTGTGCTCTGCACGTCCTACCGTGCATCAGCTGCGCCAGTGCTGGAAGGCAGACTGTGTTTAAGGCTGAGGTTAAGTAACACTAAAGTTCATTGGAACAGGGCCAGGCAGGTTTTCCACGTCCAGAAATGGCGATGCGTGCTATTCTGGTCGCACTTTATAGTTGCAGGAGCCATGGGGTTTTAGACTGAAATCTTATGTTTTAAACTATGGACCTACAGACTTTTCACATATGCTTCAGTACATGGTGGACTTTATGGCTGGCACAGGTGTTTAACTGTGTGGCAGTAGTAAATACTGAAAAAACATCCAGAAATGGTGATCAGAGCTACTCTAGGCACACTCTCTAGTTCCAGGAGCTGTGGGGTTTTAGCTTTCAGGCTAAAATCTTGTTACAGACTTTTAACGCATGCTTCAGTACATAGTGGAGTCTATGGTGGCGTAGGTCTCTCAATGTGTAGTAGTAGTAAATATTAAAAGCATGTGATCAAATTATGCACACACATTCCACTATCTATTTAGATGCCATAGGTGTCAGGTCAGTGTGACACACACACAAACCACACACATTTCTGAGCGCGAGAGGCCATGCCATTCCCTCTCAAGGTGCTGTCTTGCACGGCCTGTGTTAACCAGAACCTCGCCCCGAGTTGTTATGCAACCCAAAACTCTGAGCGCAATTCAAAACCCCGAGTCAACAGACTTGGCAGCTCTCCGCGCCCCGTCCACTCTTATGTAAGACATGTGCATGTGTGTGTGTCGTGTCGTGAGGGCAACAACACCGCTAAGGCTGCCCAACTATGGGTAATATGGAGCTTGGCCACTGTGAACAAGCTCATGCCTTTGTCACCGTGTTAATTTGGGAATCTTAAAAGGTGTTATTGCTGCTTGTGAGCACACCAGCTGTTACCCAGACTGGAAGAAGCAGTTCGTACTAACCTCGCTTTAATTTGGTTTTTTAGTTCTCCTCTGGCGTCCGGATGTGTTTTTGTTTACATATGACGTCATCCGGATCGCCACGGCAGCTGCGTCACGCGCGCACGCATTCCCTGTGCTCTTTTTTTGTGCGCGCGCCTGTCAAGGAGCACGCGTTCCTCTACTCCTCCTCCTCCTCCTTGTTGTTGTTGTTGTTGTTGTTGTTTTTATTTTGGTGCGTGCTCATTACTCATGCCAACACAAACACACACCCACACATATATATATATATATATATATATATATATATAGAGAGAGAGAGAGAGAGAGAGAGAGAGAGAGAGAGAAAGGCAAAAATGTACCTTCCAGCCAGCAGAGCTGTTGCTGTCCCCTTTGTCTTTGAAGTAGGGCACGCTCCTGACCATCCAGTCGTAGATCTGGGACAGAGTCAGCCTCTTGTCTGGCGCGCTCTCGATGGCTTTGGTGATCAGGTCCGCGTATGACAGGTTGCCCCACGCGTTCCGGCGAGAAGACGACTTGCGCGGGGTCGTCTGTTGCCCCTGCTGCCCCGCTTGCTGCTGCTGCTGCTCCTGCTGCTGCACCCCCTGCGTTGCCGGACCTCCGTTCGCGCTTGCCTCCGGTGGTGCACCGGGGCTGCTCGCGCCGTCGCTGCTGCTCGCGTTGACGGCCATCGCGCCTCCATCCTCCTCATCATCCTCCTCCTCTGGAATGATGTCCGTATCGGCAGCTACGGGCTTGACCGAGACGGACTCAGGCAGCGGCCACGTGCACGACCTCGGCCGCTTCTGGGGCTCGAAGTCTGGGTCGATGGCCACATCCAGAGTGGGCTCCGGGGAAGCCGCGTCCGCCATCGAGGAGCTCCGGGGTCTGTATAGATAGAGAGAGTCACGAAGGTCTTTTTCACTCACACAGGTAGAGGCGCGCGGTCACAGTCCAATTCCATGAATGCTCGTCCGCAGTCAGTAATGATGAAGACACCAAAGCCACTTTTACCTCAACAGTCCTGCATGTGGAGAAAACAGACGCTCACTGCAAGCACGTAATGCAATAGTAAGCAATCACAACACAGGACATTATTACTACAGCAGCTGACTGGACTACGCTACACAATGTGATACACACATACGACCTTATTACTGTAACTATGACTTAACTGTAGATGCATATATGAGATCTTGTATGTACCATTCACCCGCAACCGATCCGATGCTGCAGAATCTTACCCACTTCAGAGCTCACTCCGCTCCCGTGTCGCACTCGAGATCAGTACGAGCACTGATGTAATGCAACTACGGGGGAAAAAAGCACCAGCCACAACGTCACGTACAAGGAAAAACCCATTCAGCACCGAAGTCACGGCAGGTTCAAGTCATTCAGATGGAGTTTAAAAAGCGAGCGAAGCGATCTAGCACTGTGCTCGTAAAGCTTCCACCTTGACGTTTCCCTTGCTCTCTGAAGTTGACTGAACATCGAGAGAGAGAGAGAACAGTGTGTTCTCAGAGAGAGAGAGAGAGAGCAGGAATAGAAACTCGTGCCTCGCTGTAACAAAGAGTCCCACAGAGTCTACTCTTGCACTGTCACATACAGCGCTACTGCTAAACCTTTCAATCTGTCCTCCCTCAGCAATCAGCCAGCTTCTACCTAACTTACAAAGGTCTGAGTAGAGAGACAGAGAGAGAGAAAGAAGATGTAGGCTAACCCCGACAGACCTCCACTCCTCCCCCCACCCCCCACCTCCCATGCATGGGATCGCCTTTTAAAGGGCCACAGCTCCAAAGTACAGTAAGCACACACAAGGGCATGTTCAGGCAAGCCACGGTGCATCTGGATGGCCAAATATAGTTCAAGTTGTGTTAGAATGAAGGCATGTCATGTGCCGCCTTCATGAAACTAGACACCGTTTATGACTTTTATGTATTGTGTATTTCATATCGTAGACACTATATGAGCGCAGTAATATAACTCTACTAATTGTTGCTTTACTTCATTTGTATCGAATCAGAAAGAGGGTGAACAAACAAAAAAAATATATATATAAATAGGCATTTGGCTAACAAGCTAATAATACGTGTAGCGCTATTAAGCTCCTAAGCTGACATCATTGTCTTTCTACGACGTTTATACAGTGTTTTCTCAGGTCTATTTCAGTCCTTTGGTGCAGTTCTCCACGTTAGCCCTTTAATCCCGTGTGATCAAAAGAACACGCCCCCTTTTGCTACACATGACGTCACCTCATTCGCGACGACGAGGTGACGAATTCCTACGCTCACCCCCCCCCCTCATTTTCTTCATACCCATCAAAGCACTAGCACCTCTTTGTTCCCGTCCAGATGTGTTTATCAGCGCTGCGCTGCGGTACGGACGGGGACGCGCTGCTGGTGCACGTGAAGGAACGCGCGCACACCCCTTTACACCTGCGCGCTCTCTGCATCAGTGAATGATCGCAAGATGAATCGTTGACGCTAATTTCGTGAACGGTTGATTGCACCTGAGTGCGGTTCGAGTTCGTATAGTGCAGTGCATTCAACAGCATACACTTACTGGGAATCAGATACTGATCTAACAGCAGTGGTCTTCAGACATTAATCACACAGCCAGTCAGTAATATTGTGTATTGAACTGTCACTGTGTGCTTCTGCATGTGATATTTTCTCTACCTCCCTCTACAGTATCTTTCAAAATAATCAACCCTTCCCCCACCCTCTATGCCACTTTTCTCTGGCTCCTTTGTTCCCACCTAGGCCTGTATGAAGAGAAAGGGCTGAGGCAGCAGGTAGAGGCTGTAATGGTTTTGCTCGGCTGGAGTCTGTGGAGTCTGGTTATAATGGGCATCTGCAACAATGAAGTGAGTTGATGTATCTGCCGACGTGGTAATAATAGTATGAATACAAATGATGACCCTCTAAAACCACCAGGCGAACGTTCAGCAGGACAGGCTTGCTCTTCAGCTGGTGTTTCTCTTTTCTTTGGAGTGAGTATCTGTTATCATCCAATTAAGATCAGGAAAGTGGAGCACGAGGTTTTAGGTACTGGCCTCATGTTTCCCAACCTAAATAACGGATATTGAATTAGCAGCCCTTCTTGCATGGCTTGCTGTAATTCGGAAACTGTGACTGACTGGACAAAACTAAACATTTAGAAATTTGTTTCAACTCTGGCTATGCTGAAAGTATACATGTAGTGAATGTATTAATACAGTATTACAGGCTCATATCTCAGGAATGTACTACAGCTAGCAGTATTTCTTATCCTAAAGAATATTAAGGATAGTGGCCACAGACACATTGCATAATTTTATTTACATGATGCTTTTGTTTACCAGCTCTGCCTCTGAGGTGGTGGCATTTCCGCTGGCAATCTGCTGCAACGTCACCCACAAACAAACACACCAAAAACACACGGTCAATTGCAACCTACATAACTGTCTTTTGCTGCCATCTAGTGGCCAAAGGAGAAAAATATCCATACGCAAATGCCATAACTGAGTTAGAGAGTGGTGAGGTAGTGTTGGTTCACCTTCTGCCTGGAGACAAGGAGCTTTAAAAGTACACTTTGTGATTGGAGAACGGCACGGAGGAAATTCTGCCATCTGATCTGCTGTAGAACTGAAGGAAGCTATTAGGTATCACTGCAAATTCATAAACAAAGCTCTGGGCGTAAGAAACAATAGGCGGTAACCTGAAGCTGTAAGTGCATTGTTTACATTGTCATTGTTCAAAAACAATGGAGAAGGAAACTCTCCTGCTGACTTAAGAGAGTTTCTCTCAGAGCTTCTGAGGCATATAGATGAACTTTACACCTTAAAGCATAGGCCAACACAATGGCTTCAGAGTCTTGAAGCATGACTAAGTTAAAAGTTAGATTCATTAAAGAATGTCCATTAATTAGCCAGTTTCACACACATGAATTAAGTCTGGCCTTGGACTAAACTACAATGTCAGTGAGTGACCATTGAACATACTGAACATAGTCTAGGATTAGGCTTAAAATGGGTTCATGGGAACTGGTTTACACTGTCTTTTTTGTCATTGCTAGTTGTATCACTAATTTAGACTGAACCATGCTTATTGACTAATGCATTAAATTTCTTAATTATATCACAGAAGTTAAAGTGAACCGCATCACAAAATAGGACTGGAGATTGCCTGGACATGACAACTTGTGTTTTCAAATCAAGTTTAAAAAATTAAATGTAATAATCACACCATCTCAAGCAAGTTTTTAAAGCAAAAACCTATTTTAGAGTAATAAAAGGTTGCACATTACACAATCACACAAGCGCATTCTAAATGTCCAACATTACTTTTTGGTAAATGAAGTTTATAGCAGAAAAATATTTGCATTTAACTGGATTGAACAGGGCTATTAGAGAGCCACATGAACAGCAAGCTGAGGGTCAAAGTAGAAAGTAGAAAATTACATAATATGGTTGAATAACTGGATTTTAAACTTAAAACATACAAAAATATTTTTAAGTGTTTTACATGTGCCCATTGGGAAACAGCAGTTTCTTCCCAAGCTTTTTCTACTGGATACCCACAGTCCACCAGTAGAGGGTGCTATGTACCTTCCACTTTATTTTTCCAGTAGCACACATTTTTAATGAATATATAACAGTAGTAGTTTTCTGGTTTATTCACCACATTTCTCTCTCTATTTTGCAATTAAACAGAACATAAATTATGCACTAAAATCAGCAGAAAATGCCACATTTAAGTTCCCTGTAGAGGAGGATATGTTAAACTTTTCACTTAGAAAATCAACAAAATGTCATTTGACTGGGAGGGTTCAAACCTTTGCATGAAACTGTATATATACGTATTTGCAAGCATGCACTCAGTTTTGCTTAACTAAGGTGCCATGAGTACAACACTTTGAGGCCATTTGAAAAATAGGGAGTATTATTAGAATAGTCATAATATTTTGCTGATGAAGTTATAATATTTCAAGGATAAAGTTGTAATAAAGGCAGTAAATAAAGACAACATCAGAGAATGAAAATATATGTTTTCAAGAAGCAGATTTTCAGGTGGTTCTGTGGTCCATTTACACAAATAAATGCTGTGTATTTCTTTTTTCTAAACACCTGAGGTTACTCCCACAAGCGCATAAGTCCTCTGGTTATCATGACAGAATGCTCACACGGCAAAGACTAAAAACGATGTCATGTAGCTGTAGGCCACACTGAAATATTACCCTGCCTAAATCCCTCTTGCTGCATTCAGACCTGTCCCCCAAACCAAAGTTTCAGCTGGGCAATTGGCTCTTTATGGGTGGGCACTTCATTTAATAAGGTTCCCATTTTCCACAAGTGTCCTGTAGTCACGGGCCTGTCCTAAAATGTCCAATTGCAGTTTGTGTTTACTTAAGTGAAAACTAATGTGGTGTACTTACGAGTTTATTAAAAGAGTGCAAGCAGTCTTTAAGACTCTGAGTATGGAGAGGTGTATTATATCTTTGTGGGACAAAAAAGACGTTGTGCTTCATAAGACATACAAAGTAAGTTTTCACTCCATCTCTGTGGGACAGGCAGCAGCCGACAATATTCTCACAATGTTAACGTTCATATTTGGAACTTCATTGACTTTTGCCTAATTGCTAATCTGGAATTTAGGTTTTTGCTTTAGATCAGAAAGTGATGTTTGATGTGAAAAAAAAATTGTCCATATAAAACTGTATGTTAATACTAATGTTATTCCAATAGCCACAATGACTAAACATGTCAAGAGTGGAAGAGCATGCTGCTTTACTTGTTCTGTAGGAATAAAGAGGAGATGATCATATAGCAAACAAGTTCTGCAAGAGACTAATTGAACTTCTGGCTGTATAAGACAGCTTGGCTGTCAGTTTAGCTTTAGCGCCCCTTGCTACAATGCATACATCTTGCGCTTCATTGCATTATGAATAGCGTTGTGACACATTTTAGAACGCAGTGATGCACAACACCATTGGCCTGTTCCAATGTTCAGTGTGCAGGACCAAACTAAACACACAGTAAGTGCACTCTTTCCCTAATACTGCACTGAAGCAGTATTGGACTAAGTATATATCCCACAGTTCAACTAATTAGTGACATTTTAACGTGCCGTTCCAGAAATCAGGGAAGCATGTTAACATTGTGAGAATATCTGCAACTGACACATCCCACAGACACAATACATATTCACACACTCAGGTATTAATATTTGTGTAGCCAGAAGCATTTGTGTCCACATACTTACATGAAGCATGTTTCTGGCCTTAAGCAGCGGGGTTTGTTATTAATTGCTCTGCATTCTCTTGTTAAAACCTTCTGTTGCTGTCACACTGGTCTTGATGTTGTATGAATGTTATGAATGTACTGACTCAAAATTGATTAAAAAAAAGTTAATTAGCAATGTGCATTTTTTTCTGCTTTGTATGATGCTTTTTTTTGAAGTATCATAATTCACTGTTTCAGTGTTCCTTTCAACGTCAAGCATAACAAACCTGTCTCTGCTTCTGTCTTTATTCTCGTAATGTTCATTCTTGAAATATTCCTTTAATCTCTAAATTTTTCAGAGTTTTCTCACTTATTTATCAGACACAAGCCTGTGGAAATAGCTGTAATTTTTAAGGGTAAGATGGAAAAGGCACATGAAATGAGAGTTGAACGGTATGAGTGCTATCTTTTTAGTAGCAGTGCACAGGGCTGAACAATTTGGGGGAAACACCCAATTGCGATTTTTATTACCAGTATTGTGACTGCTATTTAAATTGCAATCATTTCCATGCCTATTTGTTGGTCAAGAAGACCAGTATATGCATTTTTTCTGGCTTGAGGCTTAGTTGTGGTTGTGATGTCATATTTGCTGCACATGGAAGTTTGGTTGCTTATGATTGGTCTAATTCATCCACAGGCAGTTCACGTTATTAGGTTTTTATCTACCCTTTTGAAAACTTAAGGCAACATTGTTAATTATGTAGGCTATAATCAGAAATGCAGCTAACTGCAATTGAGATTTAAAAATTGCCTATTTTAAATTGTGATTTCAATATAAAAAACCCTAACAGTGTGTTGTATACTGTGGGCATACATTTGATAAATTGCATCTGCATTGGCAGATATATACATGAAAAATAATGGACATTATTTTTTATCATTATATTGGCATCATCCCACTATTCCCATATTGGTAAATCCCTAATATTTAGCTGTTTGTGGTCAATATTCCCAGAGTAAAAAAAAATATGTTGTGAGGTCATTTGTGAGCTTGTTGTTCGCATTAGGAAAAATACTTGTTTACTACAAAAATGCAGCCTTTATTTAAAAAAATAAAAGACTGAAAAGATTTCTTTATGGTTGGATTAGGTGTAGAACAGTAGCTGGAATACAGAAGTCAACTTAAATATCCCATGAAGGTAGGAATACAAACTTGTGTGTTTTTTCACAACTGATTTCGATCTCCCTGAACCCAGTATTGCTCTGTCTGCATCTCTGTGAGTCGGGACAGTGTCCTCTGGAAGGCGAAGATTTCTTCCTCGGCTGTGAACAGTGTCAGTCGCTTCCATGACTCCTAAACACAGTAACACACAGACGCATGGTCAGATCTGTGGCTATCACAATAGAACCCCACCACACATTTCCAGAAATGGAAAGGTAGTCAATTTACAGCTTAAACTGGCTTGTTACTCTTTTAGGAGACACCATGAGTCCTCAACACTGATCATTCATGACTACTAATTACATATGTAAAGAAAGTTAATAACGTATTAATCACTTTTAACAGTTTCTTCCATAACCTTTTAAACAAGTGCTCCTATTTTTGCAACCTGCTTATTATAATGAAGCACGCCTTTCCATCTGACCATACCATACCATCTGATTTTATAAGCTGCCTACATTAGCTTTCTTCCTATTTCTATTGGATATTTATATTTACATATTATCAATATTTATAAAGATTTTTTATCTACAGTATGATTTTTTTTTGGCTAACATCTGTTAATCATCCTACTACTATTATTATTACTACTACTTTTTTTATTAAGAAATACTAAAAGAGTTAAGCTGATGGTGGTATAGTGGCTAAAGCTTTCACTTACATTGGTCAGGCCAAGCTCATCTAACATTAGACGGTCACGCTCCTCCTCTCCAGACAGAGGGCCCCCAACAAAAAGACAGTGCAGAGGGGCCTCAGCCAACATCACCACCCTCACCTGAAAGAGAGAGAAAGAAAGAGAAAGGAGAGACAAATTAACAGAAAAAGAAGGATCACACAGTACCAATATGATGGTGTCAAGCAATGTCAAAAATAAACATGGGCAAAGGGCAAAAAAAAACCCCACCATATTTACCTTTTTTGCAAAGAAATATGTTGAATATTGGGACAAAAAACAGGAACAAAATAGGATCCCAAAATATCATGTTATAAATGTAATAAATCAATGTGAACAAACTTCTAAACATAATAAATACTTGTAAATGAATGCCAGCATTGCACTAATATAACAGCTGATCTTGATCTGAAGCCATGATTGTACTATTTCTAGATAAATTGGACTGTGGCATGTCCCTGCAATTGAAATTAAATTGCTGGTTGGTATTTCTGACTGAGTTGGAATGTTATTTTGAGTATTTCGCAAAGTGTCCCTATTTATGTATAAAATGGACATTTTTGGGGATGCATGCGATTGTTTGCTGATGCTGATGTCTCATTTTTCAGTGGCGAAATGCCAATGTCAATGTAGAAATTGTAACTAGCATTGTCTACTACAACTGAATTGTTTGAACAAAAGTTGTCAAATTGATCAGCACTCATCACTTATCAGCCTCTCAGCTCTAGTGTCATTAGCAATAGCATGATTTTAGTCATCGTTTTCCTTCATTCAAATTTTGTCCAAAATGTTGTGAGAATATCAAATGGTGAAAGCATGAATCGAATCATGGGCTAAACATATTATTACATTTCCATTCCCCACTGACATCGACCAACACTGAACTCTTCTCTGTGTACTCTTTGCATGTATGTCTGTGTTTGTTGTGCTTTACCTTCTGGTCGTAGAAGATGTCAATAAGTGTAATGAGGCGCCTGACTTGGTTTTTCAGTCCAACCTTCAGCCGAGGCACATTACGGATGATGACTGTGTCAAATCGACGTGCTATCTCCAGATAATCACTTGCACCTAACGGCTGAAATATGAACACAAATATACATATAAGATAGCTCTGAACACTCTTTCATCATACAGTTAACAAACCATTATTCTGTGACTCGGTAGTTTTTTGGCCTTACTGAAAGAGCCCTCACTCTAAAAAGCAGAATAAAAGACTAGTAAATTCCTAGTGCCTAAACTTCATCTGTTTGTTTTTCTGAGTTCTCCACAAAGAGTATGTGGCATGCACTGTTTGTTCAGTCTTCTTTGTTCCTTTTTACTCATCCATCTGTTTCTCATCTCTCGCTCTTTTCTTTTAAAAAAATTTCCTCTAATCTTTTTCTCTATGTTCTAGGAAAACCAGGTAACAGTGTGACTTGTGTGTGTGCGTATGAGAGTGCCTGTGTGGTAACCAAGCAGGAAGGCACATTAAAACATGCTGACATTGTACCGACTGCATTAGTCTGACCATGAAGACAAAGAAGTTGAGGACTCTTCATACACACACACACACACACACGTACGCACAGAGACCCTCGGCATGGATGGAAGTGAACAGCACTCTCGAAAGGGCTGAAGGACACAGAGACAGCACGTCAGCTCCATTAGAGAACGGCTTGCTGATCCCCCCGCCTCCCCAAACAAAAAGCTATGACATGCAATTGCGCAACTGGTAATACACATCCAAGGCTGGAGCAAGCATCTCGCTCACTCTCTCCCCTTCTCTTGCACAAACTCTGACTCTCAAAGGTCTTGCTTAGGGTAGCTGTCACCAAGGCTGCGGTGATAAACTCATATGACTGGACAAAGGAGAGAGAAGTCTATTCATGATTTTAAAATCTTAGCTGAAAGCATAATAACCACTGCTGCCTTTCTCTCCGTGAAATGCTGATAGGCTCCACCACCACTATATTGAGGAAGAGACCGCTTTAAGCAGGCAAAACGGAGGAAATTAAAGAGATGACTAATAAAAGGGAAATGCAGCTATAGTGTAAAGCAGCAGTGAGGAAAAGAGCAAGAGGAAAGCGGGGGTAATGGTATTCTAAACAGAAGTGCTGCCAGAAGCAATGACGGCAATAGAGAAAACACATGCCTTGTTGTTGCAGAGGGTTGGAAGAATTAGTCACAATTGTTGATATGACTTTTCATTTTAAATGACTGATATTCACTAATCGCTTTATAAATTGTATGCACCCCCACAAATGGGCTATTTTTGCCAATCCTGGTTCAGTCAGGGTTCTAAAGTGGCGTTACAAATGGCAGCAATGACACCAAATGTTAACCATTTAGATGGTATTCCGATTGTTATAGCACTCTGGCCTCTGTCATTCCATCGAGAAGCCAGACAGTCTTTCCCTTGTGCACTTTTACACTTGGTTTTGTCTCATGAAACCACATGGCTAGTAATAAACATGACACCAAATATTATAAAAGGCCTGTTGTAACAATTTGCTTCTCTTATAAAAACATATTTACTATTCTGCAGGTTGATGAACATTATGATAGGCTCAGGCAGTGTTACTCAATGACAGTCCACAATTAAAATTATTTGTGCAGCATTGTGAAATTCTGTCTGCTTAAATGACCTCATCCAGTCCTGCGTTTCCTAATCTGGTGGGGCTGCTCATCTAAATCCAGAAGTGGGATCAGTAGCCTATCATTTCCCTTAGTGTTAGACTTAGTGTGGAAAGATAATGAATAAGATGCCTCTACTCAGGTATCTTATTCATTAACTTATACGTGAGTCCATACATTATGCTATGTCTATAGAAAATGCATTTATGTAGAATTATATGGAAGCACCTGCTTTGTTGGACTTAAACTTCTCTGTTCTTAATCTTGACTATGCAGTCTTGACTATATCACTGGCTGGTGCTACAACTTTACTGATTACTGAAATAAGCAGAGAAGCAGGGGCTACATTCAACAACAGTATTCTTGAAAAAGAAAATGGGACTTTTGGTTAGCCAAAAAACAAAAGGGGAAATATGACTTTTTTCCTGTCCTTACATACAATTACAATGTCAAGTCTCGATTTGTTTTACACTTGCTGTATTTGAGACTGTTGGAGTTTCAGAATAACATAACTACTATCAAATGCTACTGCCTTTATTCTAGCAGCCAAAGCCATCTGACTGAACCAAATGCTCTTATGGTTTAAAATCACCAACTGTCAACTCCCTAAGACTATATATATTTTTTGAGCCCCATTATTTGGACAGCTCCTAATAGATGATCTATGGATGTTCTCATTGAAGCAAACTATCTGTTGAAACAGTATTAGGAATAGTGTTAGGTTTAGGACCAGGGTTTGGGTTAGGTCTAGGTTTTGGGTTAAGGTTAAGGTTACAATTCAAGGACCAGATTTAGTTTTACAGACAATAGAAGTGAATTTAATAGATATTAAGAGAAATGTTAGTTAAATCTTTTATGACTGCAGCCCCTGTAAAAAAGCAAGAGTCAGAGAAGTGAGGTTTACTCACTTGATCACAGAGTTCTTGGAAGGTGCAGTCAGCGATCGTTCCACAAGTGCGGCTTAGGGTCACCTCTCGGCCCTGCACGGTCAGCACTCTTGGCCTGGTTACTGCAGAAGCACACAACAAACTCAGTTAGCAGCACATACTGTGGTACCATCATGGAGGCATAAAACTAACACTAAACTTGGGAAGCAAACAACTTTCATAGAATTCAATTCTCGAAATCACACACACGCACACACACCTCAAGGCTCCCTCTGTCTCTCAGGCAATTGTTCTATATACACTATGCTTCTCTTTCATTCTAACTAAGGGAAATTAACTTGTGTACCATCATTTTGTCTGTAAGCCAATTCATCGAACAGCGTATTCACGGCAACCTCTGCATCGGGTTCACTCGATCTGTGGAAAGCGGGAGTGAAAGAGAGAGAATAGAATATGAAATTAACCAGGTCTGAAGTGCTCAGATCAAACAGAGAGTGGTGCAGGGCTGTGTTTAGCTTTTCAGGCGTGACTCAATAGAACAGGATGTTGGGCTCAAAACAAACATTGTGAGTGTGAATGGAAGCGAGCAGTACCTACCAACACATACACATACACACACACACACACACACACACACACACACACACACATATTAGCATACACTGAAAGGGCAGCTGTTGAAGAGCATAGATTTGTAATGAGTCAGTGGAAGGCACTGTTTTATTCCCTGTATCTACCCTCATCTATCTCTTCTTCCACTATATGCAATGATCTTTCAGCTCTGATGTTTCCAAAGTTCTCTCGGTTTCTTAGCTAATAAACATTGTTTTTTGCAGTAACATGCACAGAAAGACAGTAAGAGAGAAGAGAAGACAGAGGACTCTTACATGTAGTAGAATTTTCCTGGAGGCACCTTCTTCCTCCTGCGATAGTCTATTCCAGTGTCCAAACTGATTATGTGGCAATGTTCCTACAAGCAAATGCAAAGGTGGGGTTATATACATGTATATATTATTGTTTGGTATTTTGGCATTTGGTAAGGGTCCCTAAGTTTGGGATTTGATAAGGTTTAATTGCAGAACCTCACTGTGCTGTAGTCTGCATGTGCAAATGCAATATAAAACTCACCTCCAGGCGGTGACAGTGTGACGTATTATACAGGTGGCAGTACATGTGAAAGTATTCACTCACTTCTGTAATGCATGTCCTGCAACTTCAAATCCCTGTCATAAGAAATGTCATGATAGCTCTTTTTTCTCAATACTGATACTGAAACCTTGTGTATTAGTTGATATTGATTCAGTATTTTTCTTTCTTTAAAAAAAGCTATTTTTAATTTAAAATGAACATCAAGATGAACATCTAAAAGTAGGGTGCTCACTACTTAAACACTCTACAACCCCACAGAAAAAAACACATGGCTAACATCACCACATCACACAATGTGGTATTTCAGGCTTCATTTGTTACAGGATTGGATTCATTATTTTTTTCCTCTATGATATCTGATCCAGCACTTTCAGCTGATATTGACCAACTACAGACACCCACTGATACGGACTTGCCATCTCTACTCATCACGGATTAACTTTCATGGATTAAACTGCCAAAACAGCACCAACTTTACCAACAGAGAACACTGAGAACAAACTCACTGTATGCTTTAGTGAGGATTTTCAGGAAGTCTGATTTACTAAACACCACCTGTAACTATTCCCCAGTATACTGATACCTCTCACTATCTGCATAGTTTCTTGCATTCTTTCTTGTTGCTTCTTGAAACTTCCACTGATATTTCAGGTCTGGAGCCTCTAAACACTGATGAAAAACACTAAATCCAACCAGTCTGGCAGTTTATTAGCCACTCAAACATGGGAGTGCATCTAGGCTCTGAGAAACACTCAAACTAAGCAGAATGCCAGAGACACAAGATGACAAAAAAAAGGGCTGATGAAAAGGACGGGTGATTATTTTTAACAGGAGTAATAATATGTGGCCTTTGCTTGAATCAGTCCTCAATGACAGTTCCGGCGAATTATGAAATCAGTGAATTTTCCGCCACCCTCCTCCTTGAACCGGGGATAATTAGCAATCACCACACGGAGCGAGCGAGGAATGATATATTCCTATTTTTCCCCCCTCTATCTCTCTGCTCTTCTCCCATTCTCTGATGCTGTCAACTTTTCTCTCTCGAGCTCAGAGTTCCGCGTCCGAGCCAATTGGCTGAATCAGGCTTAATGACAGGCTGACAAACCGCGAGCGGCGAAACACAAAAGGGAAAAGTGTCGCTTCATCAGCCCCGAGCGACCTCGTCACCGAGTCGCCTCGTAAACAGCCGCCATGGCGCCGACAGCCACCAAATCAGGTTGTTCCCCTCTCTTTCTGCTGTCTTACCTCCTTCCCCTCTTTCTATTTCTAAAAAAAAATGTTTTTCCTCATGAGCGTACCTTGACAGCTGGTGAGTTAACAGAGACATCCCTCAGAATAGGGGGTGGTCTAGGGGAGAGCTTGAGCAAGGAGTGAGTGGAGGAGAGCAGAAACACAATCAGAGTGTGGTTATATATAATCAGCTGGAGATGTGTCCTCTTGTGGATCATTGCATGATTATGGCCTCTGATGGGTTCATTAGAGACCTATAACTCCTCAAAGATCTTCATCTTCAACCCTTCATTGTCACCCTCCCCCACATGACACCCCACCAAACACACACACGTGTCATATTAATAGCGAACCTGCTTTCAACAAGTCACATACCCAACCAATGTGCCACATGCTGCAATGCATTGGATCTCTTGAATGACCTGATGCATTCATTCAATGCAAAACATATGTAACTATGCAACCTGTAACTTTTCAAGTTGTTTGTAGCAGATCTTCATGACCTTCTTCATGCCATGAAGCCAATAAACCGGCTGACCGAAAACACGTTTTTTTCCCAAAGTCAAGCTGAACACATGTAGCCGCTGTTCAGCCAATATACTGGATGACCAGGCCCTTTCTGGACAACAGTTTAGAATGGAAATGAAAAGGCGAAAAATGGGCTTGTGTGCGTTTCTCTCTCTCTCCCTCTCTTTTTCTCTTTCTCGTTCTCAAAAAAGTTGCCTTTCAGTTTTTCAAAGCGAGCCTTGCCATTGAGACCGAACAAAAGCCAAAGATAGCTGGCGATTGGGCCCTGATGAGGTCCACTACCTCATTACTGACGGCCGAAAACATTTGATGCTTTTTTTTCCCTCCCCCTTTGCGGGGCTAGAGAATTGACTGAGCTGGGCTCAAAGAACGCAGGGTGGGAAGACTGAAAAAGAGAAGGGGGTGGAGGGGGTGTGGGGGGGAGAAGGGGGGAAAGGTTGTTGTCCATTCATCTGTGTGTGTCTTACAGCCACTGTGGAAAGAGGAAAGAAAAAGGGGGGTGGAACAGAGGGAGGGGTAGAAAGAGAACGAGAGACAGCTTAAAACAGTGCCTTTATGCTTTTGAGTCCAGGACGACTCCTCTTACATCAAAGTGTTTTCACCACTGTGGTGTGTGATTTCGTGTGTGTGTGTGTGTCTTGGGTGAACGTATTCAGAGATTAAGTGACTAGTGTGTATGTGTGTGTGTGTGGTGGGGGTGGCTAAAGATGTGAACACACTAATTACGCCTAATTATCTATTCCCTTTACATGTAGCAGGCTTTGTTGGCTACTCAAAACGTTCTCACAACGTATTTGAAATGTTCTCACAACCTTGCACTGCCCTGTGTACAGCTCTTAAATAAGCAGCACCTTTAGAACATCTGCATTGCCTTAAAAAGCCAGGACCACCCTGGGACCTCACTCACTGTCTCCTGGGCCCCTCCTCAACATATGCTTAAAGACGAGCACAAATGCTGGCTGGACGAAGCAAAAGGTGAGCGAGAATGAAACATAGTGGAGATGGTAGAGGAAGCATGGGTAATGGAAAGATGAGCAGCTTGGCTGTGGTAGATATATAATGACGAGCAAAAAAAAAGGGTGAACTCCTAACAATCTCTCTCTCTCTCTCTCCTCTCTCTCTCTCTCTCTCCTGAATGCTTTATTGGATTAGATCTTTCTCTGAGGTGGCCTGCTCAGACTAATCGGCTGCGCTAATTAGCCATCATTTCTCACAACAGCAAAAGAGAGCACTCACTCTCCTCCGCTCATTCAATCACTCCTCTCAAACACTATCAAGGCTGAGTCGATTTCTCTGAACACTTTGAACTTTACCATGTAGGTTTGTACATTCCGTCTCTGAGCGGGAAGGAGATGGTATAAAAGGGAATGGAAAAATAAATGAAATATGAAAAATAAGGACTTTTTGTTGGCTAACCAAAGGCCAGGGGGACAATAGCAGTCATTCAACATCAATTCCCTCTTTCTGAAGAGCGCTCTCTGCCCATGTCAGTCCATAATCATACTTGTGACTCTGTCCAGCCGAGTCCTTCGCCATGAGCGCATACACACAAACAAGCACACACGCACAGCACCACCACCACTTAAATTTATTTCCCTTTGTGTAATTTTTTTGAATACTTGGCTAACTGTACGTACCAATTAGTCCCTGACAAAAGAATGGAGGAGGAGGAAAAAGAACAAGGAAGGAGAGAGAGAATGAGAAAAAAAATAGGGAAAAAAAAAGGGAGACACTTGAGCTAAATTAAGGTTATCATATTTCTGAGACAATACTGTAATGCTTCTACCTGTATGAGCGAACGAGGGGCGGGGAAAAAAAAGTCAAAGCACTGATAGAGTTTGACATACAATAACGCCTGACCCTGGACAGCTGGATGTGGAGAATAACAGGGAAAGAAAAGGAGAAATGCCACAATGTCCAAAAACATTTCAAAACAGTAGTGTGACCTCAGACTTAAAAACATAAAGACACAAAATTAAAACGTCTAACGTTACCAGACAAAGGCATATTAACCAAAAAGTGCCATAAGAAGTTATTAGTCTTTTTGAACTCACTTTCTTTGAATACCTCAGAATCTTCCCTCTTTAAATATCCCTGAACCTACTCCCCCTTTCTCTCACTCATCCCTCTGTGTGCTGGTGCACTCTATGATATGAAAAGTCTCCTGGTTCAGAGAAAGATGGGTTTATTAAGTGGAATGAGAACCGTTTAGACTAAAAAGTAATGATTTTGAGAAGAACTTTGAACTTGTTTTTCAGAACAGACAGGTACATGCTCTGCCCATTAAAGGTTTGCGGACACACCTAGTCCTCAGTAAGTTTGTAATACAAATCAGCACTTTTCTTTGTCAGTTTGCAGTAACTTACAGATTAAACAGGTTTACTTTGAACAATACCATAAATGTAAATTTTGTGATGAGACTCAAATTCCAGGATTACTATTCAGCTATCAATATTCAGATGTAATAATAGTTACTATGAATTACTCAGTATCTACTGTGAATCTAATATGTAAGGTAATTTTCCCATGAAACTGAGTGCAGTGAATGTCTTGACCCACCAACAGCTTAGAGTTTAACCGTTTCACAAAGTTTTGGGCGAAAGATTTTCACTATGTGTTTTAACAAAAGTTGAAAACACATTTAAGTGAAACCTGAGACTGATGAAGATGAAGCTGAGAGGTGCACAATCATACTATAATATAAAAGTATTAGTAAGTAGCTGTTTTACAGCAGGTATAGCTTCATTCTTAACTGAAAGGCACAGCGTGACAATTTAAAAATTCAAAAGAAGGCAAGGTGCCTCCAAACTTTTGAGGGGCAGTTTTCTTCAAATGAAAATTCCAGCTGATGACTGGGGAGGGGAGGTCATAGACCTTCCTCACACTCAGACAAAACCCAGAAACCACGACCCAGACACATGTGTATGCTAAGACTTTTCAGTTAGTCCTCCATGCATCTAAAGTCATCAGGCCTGAGTGGACATGAGACGATTTTTGCAGGCCACCCTGGCCTGCATTGGGGCTCCTGCATTGCTGAAACCCACCAAATCCAGATGGCTTCACAAAGGAGCAGGGAAGGAAAGAAGGCTGAGGGCTTTTCAGCACCCCTATCAGGCAGCATTAACGGGGGGCACAGCACAGGGTGACTTTAGGGACCCTGCGACTCTAATACGGAAAGAATGACCTGACGGGGAATGTCACTGTGCTGGCCCACTGACCCTGAAGACCAGTGGTCCAAACAGAGAGGATTCATGGCCTGAATGAAAATTTCCCAATGTTTCAAGGCATGTCTCCTTAGTACTCTGTGCCTTGTGGCCAATAAAATGATGGTTTTTGTAGTGATATACAAAACAGGCCAAAAATATGAGAGCAACTTTAAAAATAAACATGAAAATTCTCCTGCAGCTCTAATCATATCAATCTGATTCTCACATTCTTCTAATGTGAGAATGCTCCTAAAGGCTTGATTAACTGAATATGGTATGTTAAATTAGGGGTTTGTAAATGATTAAAAACTTGGTGGAACAGAATGTTATCAACAGAGAAGGCTTTTCTATATAATACAATAGAGTAAGAGAACAATAATACAAACCAGGGCTCTAAACCAGTGCAAGGAACAAAAACAAAAACCGGAAATGGATGGTGATTTGCCATCTCAGCCCTCCGGTCACTGCTTAGTGAGTCAGCGTTTTCTGTGGATATACTTTAAAATTAAAAAACTCAGAAAAAAGACATAAGATGTGCCTGGGGTGGACCTGTAAAGATGAGCTCTTATATCCATTTCCAAGACCAAACACAAATGAAGAAGTCAGCTTCTGTTAAAAAAAAAGTGCTACATCATTGTCATCAGTGGTCTAAAAACCTGCTCTTTTACTAAAATAGCTTAAATAGCTTACATTATAATGGCAAAGCAAAGGTTTACATTTAACATCAAGTTATGAAAGGTAAGATATAAATCATCATCAAATCATCAACATTTTTCACACCCACTGTGGTGGCAGGCTTGGGATGTGTTATATGGCTATGGCTTGTTATATGGCTTAGACTGTGAATTTTATGAAGCATGAAGCGTTTTGCTTTGTTTTCTGAGACCTACTACAAACCAGTGGAATATTTTGGAAAAAAATCATTTGGTTAAACCAAATGTCAAACGTGTTAGCTGTTGGCACACTGACTTAATTTGCAAAATAATTTTGAAACTAGAGGTGGGCAATATGATGCTTTTCAATTTTTATCGTGATAAATTTTGTTATCTTAATAAATCTGGGTCTGTGCATCAAAATATCATGTGTTGTGAAAATATCTAAGTTTTGTAATATAGTTTTTCAGTATTGCTCAACCCATTTTAAACTTAAAAAAAATTCCATACTTCTGAATTGTAGTGTATATAGCTGTTAGCTGTACAAAACCTATGTACTGTATTGCAGTAATGAGACTAAGTATACAAGTTATAGGCTATTATTTTAGCTACCTTTAACACTGAGCAAGTACAAGTATATGTGAGTAGGTGGGAAAATTATAAACCTAGGGGTTCTCCCACTTAACCAGCACTTTACTATCAATCTGCCATTTGCTTGAGCATATGTATTAAGACTAGTCAAATGTGCAAGAATGTGGGCTGCTGAAAATCATCACTGGGAATGATGGTCTGATTATTTATGATGACGGCCTGCAGCAGAACTGTGGTAATTACCCAGATAGCACACAGGATAATGCCAATACCTGCTTACAATGATGCTATTAAATTACAAAGCAGATCAGAGCATCCCTGCTGTCCGAGGCAGTGCTCACTTTGAAATGCAAGCAGGCGGCTTCATTCCAGCCAACCCACGCTAGTCATTAAACAGCCTTCTCTCTATCTCTATCTCTGTCTCTCCCTCTCTCTCCATCTCCTCTGTTTCTCATATTCTCTCCCTTCTCCAGGTATGATCAAAGGTGCCTTTTCTGTGCTGTGTGTTTTTGCGTACTTGCACTGTTGTTGTGTGTTACGCCAGTTATAAAATACATCAAAAAGCGGACAAAGAGGTGGGGCGACATAAAGAGAGAGGGACACGAAGAGTATAAAAGGATAAATAAATTAACAGGGAGAATGACTTTGTCTTTACCTTGAGCACACCGATGAAAGGCACAAAAGCAGCTCTCTGAAGCCCGTTTTTGTAGAGTTCTGAGAGAAACACAGAAAAAATAGAGGGAGAGAGAGAGAGAGAGAGAGAGAGAGAGAGAGAGAGAGAGAGAGATGGCCAGGTCTGGTTAGTATCAGCTACACTCTTTAGCCTGCTCATAATGTCATTTTCTTCCTGTGATTGGCAAATAAAGTGTCTATTGATGAAGTGAAGGTAGGGAGGGGGAGGAGGGACAAAAGGGACAAGGAGAGGCAGAAATTGATTTCTGTGTGCAGCACAGGAGAACAACAGCACATGAAATTCATTACATTCCCTAACAATGAGCTCAGGAGAAGAAGTCTCTCTCTTTCAGCACAGACAATAGGCCAACATCAGAGCAAATAGAGACTTCAATTAGCCCCACAGACATTACAAACCCTGACAACACACACAAACACACACACACACACACACACACATAGTTCAGAATGTAAAAGAGAGGATGATGAGATACTGTTATTGGTGACTTGTTTAGAGGTACACAGCAACCGATGACAATTCCTGAAAGCAGTGGCAAAGGCGCGTGGTTTTCTCGTCTTCAACAAGAAGCCTGTTGCAGTAGGCCTACATGCTTTTTTTTTTTACTAGTTACCCTCCCTGGAATTAGTACAGTGTGCTTTGCTTTACCTAGCCTATCAGCTCACTACCTTACTGGAGAATTCCATCGATTTTTCTGCGTAATTAAATTGTTGAGATGTAAAAAGTCATTCCGAGTGGTTTGATGTAAAATGTTACGTTCTAGAGAAACTTGTGGAGTTAGGAACCACCTGTCTGAGGCACTTAATGAAGTGTCTCCCAACTGAGTCCTCAGGGCCCCCCAGAGGGTCCACATTTTTGCTCCAACCTATTTCCCAACATTGGGTGGGCTGGCCTGAGGAATGAGGACTGAGTTGGCACTTACTGGTTTAATGTCTCTAAAAGCTTCCTTACCAAACATTTTTAAAATATACTCTACACTCATGGCGGAGAGGTACATACATGGCATTGTCAGGCAAGATAGCACTCAAAGAAAACTTTTTTCTTTCTTGACATTTACCACAATGTTACCATCATCAGCATTACACATAACATATAGTTTCACTGGTTGGTTTGGTTAGTGAAAAAAATGGCTACTTATGTGCTGTAGACATTGCGATCCTGGGTTCCAAGTATCACCACTGTAAAAAAATCTGAAGTCAGGAAGTATTTCTGTAATGCATCATTTAACATTGAATCATTCTGATTGACTTTGTTTACAACCATTTAAACAATCAAGAATCATCCACAACCATCCATTTAGTCACTATCAATAATTACACATGTTGAAAAAACAGAAAACTTTCTTATTAAAACATGTTTTCCTGTTACTGTACAAGCCAGTAATGATCTGCTGTTTCTAGACGGGAATAGCAACATTTGAGCTGCAACTGTCTTGCTCATCATGTTTTCAGAGTTCCCAATAGACTTCACCTTTTGGAAAAGTGTATACATTGATTTAATCCTTTAATAAGATAATCGGCCTTAAAATTAAATGAAAACTGAATAATAAGCGTGCAGTATTAAGGGGACATGAAATCAAGAGTGAAAATCGGCCCAAAACCCAGTTTGCGATGTGCTCTTGATACGGTCCTCAGTGCAATAACATGATTGCCTATCTAAAGGGAAGATACCATTTCAGCCATGTTGTTCAACAGCTCATCATGACCCTGAAGCCAAAGGTATGGCTAGGTACATCTCAGACTCAAAAGCAGCACCTCCTTTTTTCACTCTCCTCCACCTCCCTTCCCTTGCTTTCTCAGAGTGGCCCTGAAGAAAAGCTGAAGCCATTGTTCTTGAAGGAAGAGAGCATCTCCAAGTTGAGGTTCAAACGCGCCAGCCTCTTTGACGGCCCTTCACCGCCACATCTTTCCATCATCTCGCCCGCGCTCTCTCCCTTCACCGGCCCTCGCTCCCCGTCTTTCATGTAAGCCAGCCCTTCCATTAGTCGCCTAATTAAAATGAAATAAGCTGGCTATTAAGTTTTAGCGTACTCTTTGTTCTCAGTGGCTGGTTAATGTTACGAGAGTGTCTTTATGTAAGCGCTCGCCTGTGGCGCACTCCATACGCAAAGGCCACTTCATGCAATGAGACATTAGCGGCACTCTGAGAAAAGCGAAAGAAGAGAAAGGAAAGATGACAGGATTGACTGTCTCAATCTCTCTCCTTATCGCTCGCTAAGACTCTCCACGTTAATGTAACATCACAGCTATTACAAAACGGCAACTGTTGAATCAACAATGAGGAAGAGGGAGAAGAGTGAGCCCGAGGCGGAGAGAGAGATTAAAGAGTAACTGCTGGCGGTTCTGGCCAGGGGTTAGGCCGCGGTCTTATGTGTTTCATGATGAACGGTGTGCAAGCAAAGAGGCTTTGATGGTTATGACATTAAGGTTTTGTACTGAGTGGTCAGGTGTAAATAAAAAACAATTGAATCCAGTGTATAACGTGTATAAAGCTTCAAAGACCACCAGCGGCCTCATCTCTTTACCTTTCTGCATCAGTCCACCTGTCGCACTGAGAAGGTGCACATCTGGGAGTTTAATTAAGGAAGAGGGATGTTAGAGGTCATGCTATAAAGCACAATCCTCATCTGATTCAGGAACATAATATTGTAACCTCCTTACAATGTCTGGTACATAAATTTAGGGTTGGTAGAAGCAGAAGGAAGAATCCCGACAATAAGTGGAAGAATCCCAATATCTAAGCAATGTGGAAGTTAGAGGTCGGACTAAATATTGAGGACAGTCCTCATGCGACTCAGGAATACAACATTCTTCAGAGAGAATTCACACTTAACCTTGCACTGAGAAATAATGTGACAGAGCAAGATAGACCCTGGTTAATGTCACATACATTTTAAACATCCTTAAAACGTCCTTTCGCCGATGGAGAGGAAGAGTCTTGGCAATGCAAACTCTGTTCAAGGCAAACTGGGGAAAGGTGAAAAGAATAGATGAGCGGAACAAAAGCTGCTGAAAAAAAAGGAGAGGCTGACATATGAGAGTGTTTGGAATTGGATTAAGAACATGAGAAGGTCGTAAGCTTTAGGAACATGTTTGACTTTGTTCAGCCAACAAAAATGCAGTAGAGGAGACCAAGGGCAAACTATTGTCAATAATTGTGTAGAGGTGAGGGGACAACAATACAAAGTGAGAACGTAGTGAGGTCATGGGAGCTGTGCAGGTGACAAGGTCAGTGTAGTATCAGAAATACACTTTCATAGAACTCAGCAGCTTGAATGTCACTTGTACGTTGTGCAGTAGTGGCCTACATACAGATCAGACACCTTAAACTCCATAGATCTCCAGGTAGACAAGAGAAAATCAAAGTAATGTTTCAGACCTTGTTCTAAATTCACTTTAGAAGTCAACTATGTGTTAAAAAATGCCTCTGTGATAACATTAGTATCAGCCTTTGAAGGCCTAACCAATGGTAGTGCTCGCTTAGTGAATCTACTTTGATGCAATGGAAAAAATCCTTATGGACAATTTTTCATTGGCTGTTTCAAGATTTTAGCCATGTTTTTTTTCAAGAAAACTTAACAATAAAATATCACGATACAATATTTGTGGAGTTTAAACAGAAGCAGGATGATCCTATTAAACAATTTTTTTTTTATTTCATTTTTTAGTTTCCTGAAATCATTAGCAGGCCCTGAGGGTTTCACACGGCTTTACATGTTTACATGCTTTATTACTGCATTATGAATCATGCAAAAAATGTGTGTTGTCCTCACCTTCTGGCGGTCGGTTTGAGGTGGCCACTAGCACCACGCCACATGAAAACAAGCCCTCGAAAAGCTGCTTCAGAATCATAGCATCTGCTATATCCACCACCTGAGAGAAAGAGATGGAGATAAGCTGGTTAAAATCCTATAGCCTCTCCAGGCTGTCATTTTTCTTCTGTAATTGGGTGAGAGAGGAAGAGAGAGAGAGAGAGAGAGAGAAATCTGTTATTGAGCTCAATCAGTTTCGATTCCGCACTGCCACAAATTCATCTGGCTGCAAAAAAAATTCACTTGAACATGTATTTACAGAGGATTTTGATTGAACAAATCCTCTGAATTGAGTGAACTAGAAATGAACTTGACCCCTGGCCCTAAGCTACTGCACCTAAACCTGTGCACAGGGGATTTGGACAAGTTCTTTTCCTCCGGTCCAAACTTGCTGCTCTGTGGAGGACGGTCAGAGGTCTATGGGAGCAGACACAGGTGGATGAAGGCTGAAGACGAGCAAAGCCTTGCCCTCCCCCTCACTCTGCCTTGAGCTAATTACTGTGATTGTTATTGTGTGTGTACACACGATTGAATGAATACCAGGTGTTGTTACATTTCAAATCCCAAGCATTGGCCAAGGTCCATTGACCACCACACACGCGCGCGCGCACACGCACACGCACACAAAGCCACTCCACCTGACGGCAAAATGGCCATACGGAGCCACAGCTTTCTGCTGGAGACAAGGACAAGTGTCTCGAGGTGGCTTGTCTGAGCTAATCAAGTCAGGGCAGCCAGACAAAGCCAGCGAATGAAATGATAAATAAATGAATATATAAATAAATAAATAAATAAATAAACAAGGCAATACGAGGCAAAATCAGTGGCACAATGGCAGCCAGATGGCCACACATGCACTGCGGATACACACATACACAGATGCGTTCCCTATTGTGCTCTTAAGGGCCTGGCATGGCTGTCCCTGAATCTCAGCGGCGAGGGGGGACGAGTGGTTCTTTCATTATCATTCTCATCATCATCATTGTCGTTATTATCATTTAAACGTTGCCTTTTTCACAGCAGCGAGCTGTCGCCTCACACACATCTGCAAAAACATAGGAGCTGCTGACCCTCCCTGAACAAAAGGAGCCCTTTAGTCAATAACCTACAATGAGATCCTCTTCCTTTCATATTCTCCCTCTCTTTCTCTCTCTCCCTCTTTTTCCAGCTATCTTTCCATTCCTGCAATCTTTTATGTTTAATATACACTCAAGTGAGCAATACATTTGTACGTGTGTCCCTGAGTGCAGACATGTAGCCTATAGTAAGCACATGTCTCATGCTGTCCTTCGGTGGACCAGTATTGATTCTTCAAGCCTCTGTCCTAGCTATCGCCTACTGTACCTCTTTATTAGCATTTCAAATTGGCACTGCTGCATATGTTCCGGAGGGCCAGAGATGGTTTTTGTCATGTAGAAGACTCCTCCTCACACATTGATGGACAAAAAGGAGACACTTAAGATGGCCATACCCCCAGCATATGTTGTTTTTCTTACATTGAAGTGCTCTCTTTTTTGCATACTAAACCTTCAGTCCTTAATCTAACCCCATTAGCATCTGTGGCACAATCTTACTTTTTGGTGGGTGCGTGCATGTGTGCAAGGGTGGGTGGGGGGTGTTACAAAGCCGAGGTGCTGCCGCTTAAATTGGATCACATTTCCTTTAACCGCCTTTTTCTATGGCCCATTTCAAAAGAGTCATTTAATTATGACCTTTTCATCCTTCCTGTATTTGTGTTTTTTGTTTGTTACGCAGGCACCATGGCGCACGCAAGCACGCATACACAAACACACGCGCAGTCTCACTCACATTCGGGTGGGTATTGTTGGGCAGTTTGAGCAGAAGAAAGCAGCGCACGGTACTTCGGTGTTGTCGAGGACAACCTCAAAAACAACGGCGCGGATATTCAAATGAGCATCCAATTACAGCGGCAAAGAGTCACTTTTGTGCGGCGCATACGGGTGCCAAATTACGCTCTTTTGATCTTAAACCTTTACTTACCCAAATCCAGTGATGAGTAATTTCTGACTGAGGGGCCGAGACAATGCCTCAAGCAGTTTCTACTCCCTCTTCCTTTCCCTCCCGCCCTCCCCTCTATATCTCTCTTTTGCCCTTCTCTCAATACCTCGCATTCATTAAAGGAGCTGAGGGGGACAAAAGGGGAAGGCTACAAATTACTGATAATGACGCCGGACTAATGAAGAGAACGAAGAAATTTCATTAGCATTTAAGAGGCATGGATGCATGCGACCCGCCGCGGTTGCTCTCCATTACCCCTCACTTAAGGAAGCAAGAGGGGCCGGCTAAAACCCGATGCCACATTTGCATGCCTAAGTGGCCGTGGCTCCTGATTGGTAAGGGCCCGTCGGGCTCCTCATTTATGCATCGCAAACAAAACGTGTGCGAGCGTTCCATGTTGCCACTCGCCGCGATCCGCAAAGCAAAGTAAAAACCTGAGTGTACGGGCAATGACGTGTGTGCACGCGCACACACTAAGGAATATCTGGTCTGAGACAAACATTTAAATTATAAAAGGCACTAATGAAAAGAGCGGCTCTTGATCCTGACAGATACAAAGAGCGAGAACATGAGTGCATCTGCTTGTGTTTGCGCGTGTGGAGACAGACGCTTGATTATAGGAAATTTAAGTTCTGTGTATAAAAATCAAAGAGCTAATGATGCCAGGGCATGTCAGTCCTGAGGGAGATGACCTCTGCAAAATAAGTGCCCATGGAAAACATTAACCATTCCTCAGATCGGTCATAGTGTCCAGTGTGTCTCTATGGGCAATACATGGCTGTAACTATTCTGGCCATGCAAGATAATGATGAAATAACTTCTTTTTGAGAAACATGTCTAACCTATTACTGCCTTTGTGCATTGTTTTTTTCTATAGACATTAATAGAGTTATGTAATAGTACAGTCTAATGCTTTAATCTTGTTCATTTCAATTACTTCATGCTCATTTAATTCATATTGCCTTTTAGATTGCCTCAGTTTGCAAGACTGGGTTTGTGTTTAGGTTCTGAACTCCACTAGATGGCTCCAAAATGTACAAAGTTGTTTGCTTTACACTCTGCATTGAACTCTGCTTCAAAAACAACAACCGGGTACTCTTGACACTTTCATCCCTTAAGACAACTTGTCTTTTCTGAAAGATGTCAACTAAATTTGCCACAATCAGTGAACACTGTTAAACCATACAAAGTTAACTTATTTTGTCAGTAATAATATGTTTTCCCTCAGCACAACATTTGGCCACCCTTGTGCACCCATTCTCATTATAATAGTCTATTATTAACTGCTGTTTCGGAGTGGCCCACTACAGTAGTTTTTGGTTCAATATTGCAGACATGATGTGTTATTACAGCCTTTTTTCCATTCTGCCTCTCAACATCTCAGGATCCTTCAGTTACATATTGATTATCGCTGGCTGGCTTTTTCCAAGCATATGAGGAGCAAGCAGAAAATGCCACTGTGGAAAACTACAATCTCTGATGGGAAAGAACTAAAGTAATGTCTACTACAAGTATGAATGTTACATTATACAGCACACACGCTTTACTTTGCATTTCAATGTTGTTATTTCCATGCTAATGATTTAACAAACTGGCTTTGTGTTATTAGTTCTTGATTTGCAACACCTGTTGATCCCCTCCACCCACCCACCCCAGGCTGCCGAGCCTTCAGCACCTTTTCAAACTCCTCAGCCCACCCCCTCCTCACCTGAAACTCATCCAGGCATAAGAGGCAGGTTTCTGTGGCAATCTCCATGGCAACAGGAAAGATGGGATCATACATTGTCATTTCGCCTATCAGTCGTTTCGGCAGACTCTGTTTCAATCTGTGGATTCCTAAAACATTTACAGTTGCTCTCACAAATGACATACGATGAAAATAAAAAAACTATATATACAATTTGGGTTTGGGTTTAAGAAGACTGTGCCTTAAATTACCATTCCTAATAGCGATTATTTTTGTGCTTACTTTATACATTAGATTACATATATAGATACAAATCTAGGATGCAGCATGGAGAACATACTTCTGTGTATGTCTAGCATGAAGCTGTTGAAATGAAGCCTCTTTTTCCTGCTGTTCTTCACATGAGAGTAAAACAGGTCCATCAGCATAGTTTTTCCAGTGCCTGAAAATACACAGGGATCATCATTAATGCATTACAGAACCAAGAGTGTGTGGAAAATTAAAAATATGCTCTGGCAGTGTCCCATTTCTAAAGGACTACATGTAATTATATGTTTTAATGTGTTTCAAGTTTTTTTTTTAATGTATCCATAATAATGAGTCATAATAATAGCTCTGTGGGCATAAAGTTTACTGAACTCACCAACACCACCATGAATATAGCATCCCTGAGGTGGAGGTGGCTTTGCAGGCTCCTATGAGACAACAAATTAGTAAATTCACAAAGATAGCTAAACACAAACTAAATATAACAGAGTGCTATCCCTTACATACCTAAGGTAACTTAGTAATCACTACATGTGACAAAGTACTACAGGTCCCAATAGGTTACAAAACTGATTCAAAATAACGTCACTGTCAAAACAAAACCCTGTATAGCCATTTTTGTCTTTTTTTATACATAATTTGAAAATGCCAGCTCTCCTTTACGCTATGTCAAAATTTCATGATGAAGAGACCAACAGAAGGGTTCCAAAACTGACTTTTACTTACAGTAAAAGCAAGGATTTTTTTCCTTCTCCTGTAAAGTTACTGCTACTGACTTACATCTGAATGAACAAGTGCTTTGTCAGTCAGTAACACAAATCTGTGCCCATCTCCTTTAACAGTTAAGTATTTCCATTTCTTGTAAAGTGCTTACATTTTTTTCTACAGTTATTTTCTATTCAAAGATACCAATTCATGAAATTACATTCAGCTCAAAAGGCCAGGAGGATGTGTAATAATAAACTTATTCAGTCAACATAAAGAGGCAGCATCACTTTCCCTCTTCTCCCTTCTCTCTCTCCGCTGGTGTGAAGTGGCGGCTGAGCGGTGAGGTGAGCCGTGCGTGGATAACAGAACTGTGACTTCCAAAACTCTCAGCGGCCTTGTCACGCTAGAGTGGCCAAACACAGCGCACTGACTGAGGGAGGACCAGCCCACAAGGTGGAGTCACCCTTCATCCTTTCACTGAGCGCTGTTAGAGACCGGGGGCCAACGCATCACACGCCAGTGCTATTATGGGGAAGAGTTCTGTTTTCCGCTTCCTCCACACAGCACAGGAATTGTTCTTAGTTTGGCTCAGCACTTGAACTGAGACTTTCCCAAGTGAAAACACAATGCACAAGCTACAACGCTTGACATCTTTCATCAGTTCAAAGTGATGCTTATGTGATTTCTGATACTGTGTGACATTCCGTTATCTATAAAAATGAACAAAAAATGAAGTTAGCTTCTACTACTGTTTTGAGCTATACCATGTACTTCTGTCCATTTTTATAGATGACAGTCTTTTTGACATTACTTAAGAAAACAATGACCCTTGACTATTAAAGCTAGGCTTTCAGTTTGGGCCATAAAACACAAATAACACAGCTACAATAGTTCTCATTTCAGCTAGCCCTCTATGGAATCCATAATTAGTCAATAAAGGTTAGTGCTGAGGTAATGGTGGCGCAGATTAACCTTTTTTTCGGCAATTCTAGTTTAAACACAAACATTTAAAGCTTGTAAAAGAGAATTCATTTGTTTTATTTGATATTTGTAAGACATTGATATTATTTACCTTGTATGTTGTAGCCTTTCAGTACCCTGGCACAAAACAGCCACTGCTTTTTTTTCTTTTAATTCTAACAACAGAGAGAAACTACTGCTCGTATTTGCAGTCAGTGTCATATCTAGGCAGTCTAGAAGGCCTGGAGTGATATCATGAAATTAATCCACTAAAGAGTTAAAAAGAAGATCATGAGTCTCTATGAGCATCCAGTGTTAGCTGTAATAAATATATATATTACATAAATAATTGCAATTGACAACTTAATTGTCTTTTCTTGTTTACTGTTTGCAGCTATAAAAGTCCAAGCCTAAAGTTGCTTACTTATTAGCTAACACCAGTTATACTGTTTAATTGATACACTATACTGCTGTGCGCACTGAGACGCACTCGCACAAATGTCTGCAGTTATACAGAATTATGCGCAGAGTCAAGCAAACCTACATGTGCTTTACCAGAGTGAAAATATAAAAAAAACATTCATTCTGCTAGCATACACGCTAAAAACATTAGAATTAGTTACATAGATAATTAAGAAACAAACATTACTTAGAGCCGCACTCTAAACATGTAAGAGTTGTTTTCATCATAAATGCTGTGATGTCACAACAAATGCATTTACTGCTTTATTTTATTCACATTTATTTGCCTCAACCCACCACATCGAATTCTTATTTTGTTTGTTGTGGCTTAATGTTATTGTTAAACAACTGTGGGAAATGACTGCAGTCAGCTGCAATAATTGTGATTGTATCAAATGATTATGATCATCTTGAACAATTAGAAAAAAATAAGGGATTAGGTGGTTATGTAATAATTGTGACATTCCTAGCTATAGTTTTAGCTCATGACCTCATCTGAGGCAGTCTCTGTTATGATATATCATCCTATATCAAAGCTTACTGATTTCTATTGGCTATTTTTTAGTCTTAAAAGATATTTTAAAATGTCTCCCTCTGTGTGATGTTAATTTTTTGTGCAACACCAGTGCTGTCACCTAAAAAGTTAAGATGTAGCTCTATGTTAATTTCTGCTGAAATCTGTTTTTTTGGCATTGTTGTTTTTTCTTCTTTTTAACGGTTTACTAGACATGCTTTCATCAACTCTTATGAGTACCTGAATATCAAAATTAGTCCGAATGCACATCGCTAGTAGTTAATCTGATGCATAAGGCCTCCTGTGCAGTTCATAAACTCCTCAATAATGGAAGAGCTAGCATGACTGCATCTACCTAGATACCACAGAGAATCCTGACTGGATCTTTTTTCCTTCTGCCATTTAGGATTTTAACCATTTTGTCTAAATTGTTAAGATTACAGTCTGTGTTACTACTACAATGAGTATACGTGTTTATGTGCCCAATGTAAAAGACAGGAAAAAATATTTCCCAGACAATGGGGGCTCCTCATTACAGCAGAGACAATCTTTTTTGGGATTGGGAGTGGGATTGGGGGGGGGGTGGACACCCCTCTGTCCCAGTAGGAACTCTTCTGTGATCCAGAGAGGCCTGTGCCCCCCTCTATATACCCACAACCACAAACTACAAAACAACTGCTTTGACCTAGAAAAAAACAACAAACAATCCGCCCCCCCCAGTGAGCAATACACAGGCACATTGAAAGTGGTAAAGTCTGGGTTAAGGCTGGGTCATGGCAGTTGCACCAACCATGGCTTGGTCCAAATCACCAAACAAGCAGACCATTTACCTTTTCTGCATTACATTCCTTGTCTTCTTTCTGCCGTTTTTCCGTTGATGTAACATCTTCAGAGAAGTTACGGTGTGACGCTTGTCCATCCTTTTCCTTGTTCATTGTTATAAATCTATTCTCTGTTCCCGAGACTTTGGTCAGTTCATCATCTAAGCTACTGTCTTTCTTCTTTACCGTTGGCCATTGGAAAGATAGGGGAATATTGGTGTATCCTGCTATCACTCCATGCAACTGCTCTAACTGCCAAAGTGCAGCTTTCTGCTGAATGTCCTTATGCAGCAACCCAGAGTGTACTAGTTTATTGTAGTGGGCGATGGGTCCACTGTGCATGGTGCCGTCTGGGATCACCAGTTGAGAAACATATCCTGGAGGTAACGTGGAACAACCTGTAAGAAGATATAAATTGCAGTCACTGATCACAACCATCATGTTTGCTGTATGTGTTTACACTTTCGGACATCTGAAGACTGATCTAGTGACTGATTACATGACAGATAGGGGTGGGAATTTCTAGGCACCTCACGATTCGATTCTGATTCAGAGGGCTGCGATGCGATTATAAAACGATTATCGATGCATCTTTTTTTTCTATACAGGATTTCTTTTTTCTCACTGTATGACAACTTGGAACTTTTAAACCAAAGTATCTGTAATGATCAATAATGAATTTACTTCCAATATCTTTTATTAATAAAACAAATGGAAGTGATGCGGCAAGTCATCTGGAAGTCTCTCATTCACTGCTCTTGTTTGGAGCACGAGACGCAGGCTGCCACTCATCTGCGATAAAATGCACAGTTACGGTGAAATAAGATCCTGTGGCAGTGGATGTCCACGCAGCACGTTACAGCTATTCTACCCGTTTTCTTCAGTTATTTCATAACTCCGGTGTTGGTCTGGTTGTAAAGAGTGGGGGGTCGCTGTGTCAAAAAAATATCTTTGAGACAGGACGCTGTATCTCGGCTCCGAAGTGGGCAACATAGTGCAAAAGCCCTGGTTCTCAAAGACTCAGTACGGATGCAAATCCTTGGCAACAAAAGTTGCGATAGAGTTTGTAGTTCGCTTCGTCCTTTTCAATTTGGGTGGAAGCTCTGACATCGCTTGATCGATGGTCCTCTGGTTGGCAGCAACTACAACCGGGTGGAAAATGGGTGGAAATGTAAATGGTGCAGCAGTTACCATTAAAGGTGGAACGGGAAAATTTGAACGAGAAGCTGGCAAATGAGAAGCGACTTCAGCCTCGTAAAAAGTAGACATTCTCGAATCGATTCAGAATCGTCCACGTCCGCATTGCGAAGCATCTAAGAATCAATTCGCCCCCCCCCACCCCTAATATATATATATATATATATACATATATATATATATATATATATATATATATATATATATATATACATACATATATTCTTGTATATAATTATTCTTTTTCACTCTTACATGACCAGGCTCTGCCTAAAGTACAGTCAGTATCTAGGTGTGTGTTAAGATATTCTTAACAAATCATGGTGTAGCCAGGCACTAGCATGAATTCAGAAAAGCAGGTAAACTTGTTAGCCTATTTTTGAAACAGGTCCTAAGATGGTTTCTGGGCACAAGATTGTTTCTCTAGCCTCAGCCTTATTGTAGGAGTGCGTCTTCAATCGATCAAGGACAAGTTTGGGTCATTGTTGGTGTGTGGGTGTGGGTGTGGGTGTGCTTTTGGAGCAGGGTGACATTGTAGCCAGTAATACTTTTTGTCTCATACATGTTTAAAAAGAACAACTTAAAATACAGAAGACCACCATTGTTATCATTTCTCCCTGCACTCCTCTAAAATCTCAACAGCTCAGCTATACACCAGTGAATCCATAACACTCAGCATTTGAGCCCATTAGTTATCTGGAAATTGGCCTACAATAAATACAGAATGACAAACATGCTAGCATCTGCCGACTATGAGTAGATGCTAAGTATCCCTCTCGTCTGTTACTGCCCAACATACCAAAGACAGACAAACAGAATAGCTTAATAAATATTAACTTCTTTTCAATTGGTACTTTTCGAACCAAACCAAACCAAAAGGAAAAAAGAATGTAAAAACAAATAAAAATACATCATGTCTGGCATGTAATATCACAATTACTATTTAATAATGATAAAATTATAATAAATTAAGTTAAAAATGAACTACTAAGCCTATTTTGAGAAATGCAGTAGTTACAGAAAAACTACAATGTAATCGTTTATTCATTACAAACATGCACTCTTATGGTGAGAAGTTTTTGCATGTGTGAAGTACACCATAAGTGTACCATTTAATTCAATCACAAAAATGACCATGTAAGCCTGTGGCTAAGGTGCGTTTTGCAGAAAAAAAGCCCCACAAAACAACTTTAATATCGTCACTGTCCAAAGAAAACAAGTATCTCCAAAATAGTAACTTTACAGGAGAGGGCAAAAACGTTCTTTACTTTCAATGTAAGTCAATGGAAAGAGATTTTATTCTAAGCAATTTTGCTTAGAATAAAATCATTTTTATTGGTCCAATCATCATGAAATTATCACACAAGGTAAAAGACAGCTGCTGAGTTCAAATGATGCAGGAAAGTGAAAATTGCAAAAATGGAGATACATGTTTTTCATTGGACAGCAATGATATATATTGTTAAGTGCACTGGCGGTCCAGGATCCTATGACGAAATTACAAACGCAGGACAGACACATCTGCCTAACACTGTAAAATTCATATCTGAATCTCCAAGTTGTAGTACAGTAAAAGGAAAAAGGATGAGTGCTGTAGCGAAGGTGCGTGACTTCAACATATCATAAAGCATATTCAGATTTGTGAGCAGGGCAGTCTTTGCACTAGACAAAGACAGGCAGCCACCCGGGGCCCCATGAGCCAAGGGAAAGCAAGAAGTTTGTCGCTACACTTGCAAAGTTTGTTTTTTTTTCAGTCAAAGTGCTGCACAGGCTCAGCAGACTATACAAAATAGTAGCTTAAAGACAGCTCAAATGTTGGGGAAATTATTCAAAAAAAAGAATCCATTACAAATTACTAATTATGGGATTACGGCTCTTATTACTTCCTGGAAGACAAAAGAAATAAAATTCTTAAAGCAAGCTAAATTACCTGCTAAAAAGGTGAGATAATTTCACTTAATAAAATTTAAATGAATGTATTTTTTTGCAGTGAGGGTCGCACCACATTCCAGGGGGACCCATTCCTGTCTTTTGCCAAGAGCCCCAAAACCACTAAATCAGATTGTGTGATACATCAAATACTCAATAACATCAAACAGTTTAGCTACCTTCAGAGAGAGAGAGAGAGAGAGAGAGAGAGAGAGAGAGAGAGAGAGAGAGAGATATGTCCTTGAACTTCATCGGCGTTCAAATAGCCAGCGCAGAACCTGTGAGAAACATTTGATGTTCATGAAGCACTCCTGACAATTAGGTCAGTGCAGATGTGACTTTAACTGAAGAAACCAGTGCTGCACACCTGTACTAGCCGACTGGAAGACAGCTAGCTTAGCTAGCTAACAACAACTTGTTCAGTAACTCTAATGTGCCAGGTTACACTTGGAGGATGTACACGCTCACCTCTTGCTAGCTTTAATACTCTACGACACGTCCGTTCGGAGACACTACCGTCTTTTAAATATCTCACAAGGCATCTTGCTAGCAAAAACGACGTGTGCGCTGCCATCTTTCTTCAAAACTGACAGACAGGACGCGGGTTCTGTCTTCACGCCGGGAGTGGTGGATGTATCACGTCATACGTTATCATTTTTATTTGAAATGAATACAAAACATTTTAGAAACGTATCATACGATTTGAAATGACACCCAACAAAGTGTTTATTTCAAACCGTAAAGAGCACTTTATTTTAAAAATCATCCGTTTAGATACTGTACAGCGCAACACAATGTCATCGAACCATGCTGCGATTGGTTGATTACTGGGTCTCAGTCCTGCCAGCTAATCGCAATATGGTACGTTTAGACATCGGTGAGAAAAGTAACGTTGTTTTTTTACAACGCCAAGTGTCAGCTGCCCCTCAGCTGATCGGAAGTCAAATCGCTAGCGTTGTTGTTACAGCGCTGAAGCTTTAACGGGGAGCGATGGCGGATACCGTAGCGGATACGAGGAGACTATACACCAAACCGCAGAACCTCAGCGATGCATACGGACCGCCGAGTAACTTTCTAGAGATCGACGTCGGCAACCCCGAGACGGTCGGCGTCGGTCGAGGGAGATTCACTACATATGAAATCAGGCTGAAGGTGAGCTGAGAAACAGGCTAGCAGCTCGCTGGCTGGTGTTGGCCGTGTTGAGTTAGCCTGCAAGTTAGCCTCAAAGGGGCGTTTGCTCAGCCTATAACTTGGTTAAAACACTACGATTGTTTACTAACCAGTCACCCGCTGGTCACCGTGAAAGGGCAATATTTACATATATCAATCCGCTACCCAAAAAGCTGCTGTCACTGTGTACCTAGCTAGCAGAGTTTGCTCGCTATTAGCTATGTTAGCTAGCTAGGTTACCTGACTAGCTAAGCATGTCAACAAACCGCTTACTCGGCCTATACGGCTAACCATTCTCTCATTTTCTATGCAAAAGGACGTCTCTTACATTTAGTATAGACATATAGTTAGCGGTATTTTCGTTTATTTTCTTAATTGCTAGATGCATGCTAGGTTAGCATGCTAGCCGTTTATCAGGCATTATGGAGTGTGGTGGAATGTTGCCATCTGATAAGCAGCTAACCTCACTAACCTAGTCAAATTAAGTCTCTTTTGGCAGACTTGACCGATGTCCTCTACTTTTAAACAGCTTTGGAATTAGTTCAGCTCTCTTGACAATATTGTTTGTCCCGTTAAGCATCTGCTGTTAAACCTAGTCTCCAAAAGTTCGTATTGTGTTGCCATTTCCTTTAATTATACAACTCAAGACAGTTAGTTGTCCGCTGGTAGAAGTTACGTGGTCTTTTTCTTGTCAGCCTATCTAGGTTATCTAAACCTCGCCATTAGCTCGTGAAGCACTCTGGTCACATAATTTACCCAGTTATGAAGTTGAAACTGAAAAAAATGAACTCATTCAGTTTTCGCCTAGATTGCATTCCCACATCCCGGCCGCGCCCCTCAGTATGCATGAGTAAGATAATAGTATTTGTCACAGATACGAAATGTGACCGTGATGGCCCGAAGGCGATCTACATAACCTAGGCACACGTGACATTAGGAAGTTTAAAAAGAGCAAACTGTTTTAGCTTTTCGAAAACCTTAGTAGTGAACTCAATGTTATTGTCTTTTCTGAAACAAGGATTTGCATGTGAGCACATATTTTAACTGCAGCGTTATGATCTACAGAACGCCATATTGTTAGAGGTGACCGATATGACAAAATGTCTTATCAGAATAATCAAGGAATTTTTTTCCGATACACTTTGTCACAATATTTATTTTTTCTGACATCTCATCAGTTAGAACAGACAAAGAAAGCCCACAGGTTTAAAATACCATCAAACACTAAGAATTAATTTATTTGTATCCAACATTTTACATACTGTACTGCACTTAACTCAATTAAACAGGACTAATTATGCTGTTTTTGTAATCAAACATGCAGTTGGTAAGCTTCTTTTAAGAACTGACAATTTAAGAACGTTTTTAAGAGCTGGGCAGTATGACAATATTTATCTTTAACGTGATAAAATAAAAATTGTTAAAACTTGGTCATATATTAACTAGTGTGGCTGGTTACTTGTGGTCAGGGAATTTTTGTAGAGCTGTGTTATCAAGTAATTATGAAGGCAAATATTATCATATCACTATCACTGAGCAATTTGAAAGTCAGAATGGCTTAAGCGTATGTTTCACTGTGAAGACCCTGAGTTGCAGAGGGACCAAAATTCTGAGGTACTCTTATCCCAACATAAGCTTCTCCAAAGTTTAGATGTACATCTGGAACAGCGATAAAGCCCTGCAGTAGAACATAACTAGTGACTGAAGTATCCAATTAGGTAATAAAGACAGGCCCAATATTTCTAGTTTGTTCTCTGTGGGAGAGGTTGTTTTGAGTTTTTGAGTTTTTGAACTTGCCAGCCTGTAGTAATAGTCTACATAGCAGCTAATTGGATAAACAGGGAATGTACCAGCACTGCTGTGCCCTGGTTTGTGTTACTGTTGACACTTTGATGCATTGTACTATGTTCGTGTCTGAACATTCTGACCAGTGGTGCAACTGTAGCACCTTGTTTGAATGACCTTGTTTAAAAAGTCACCCGTTGAGCCAAAATACTAGCGTTTTTGTTGTCTGTTTAGATTTAGAGCACCTGTTACTGTAGCCTATAACAGGCAAATACTGATTCATAAGCATTGTACGTGCATATGGTTGTGCACGTGCGTCCAGTTATATTTATTTCAGTCTAACTTAAGTGTTGTCAGGATAATTCATTGCACATTGACACCAACAGCAATTTTGTTTATTAACCTAGCACATTTGTACAGAAGTCATGCAGGGGCTGAGGGAGCTTTGTTCCTCTTACAAAAACCTGTGCTCTAAACCTTTAAGCACAGACCTGGCTGCTGACACCTTACTCCCAATTTAATATAACCAAATAACCAATTTTCTTTATACTATGTTCTCTTCTCTTGTTTTGCATAAATACTACCTGTCTGGAAGGGCAAAGAAGTCGCATGCTGCCTTTGATGCGTCTGAAGTCTGCCATTGTACCTTTATTTTTTTTAATTTTCTATATTTTTTTTTGGTTAAATAATTTATTTATTTATTTAAAACGTACTGGAGTTGTAGAGTGCCGAGTGCCCGATTTGCTGCTTTGTCAGTGGTGATGGAGCAGAGAGGGCTCTCCAAATGAGAGTGCACCCATATTGTGGCGAGATGAGCAGCAGTCTCACATTCTGTCTCTCTGGTGTCCTGCAGCGACAGGTGGTGGTCCTCTTATTCTCATTAGGGAAGTTGTATGACCTGTGTTTATTATTATTTTTATTCAATCCATAGTGCACATATATCTTTTTAACTTTCTAGTCAAAAAAAGAAGAAAATATTTAACAGCAAATTACACGGAACCACTTAAAGAACTAAAATATCTTTTAAGTACTTAGCGAGTCCACTCTTTGCCTTTAGTACACATTTTTTGTAGACTTGTTTTTTTAGTTTTCAAAGAATATCTATACGCACACACACACACACCTCAACATATATATTTATGTGTGTGTGTGTGTGTATGTACCCACACAAACACACACACACACATGCGCACGCACACAGAGTATGTCCAAATGTTTGTGGACACCTGCTCATCCAGTGTTTCTTACAAAAACAAGAGTATTAAAAAGCAGTTTCCCCATCTGCTGCAGTAACTCTCTAGTCTCTAGTCTTCAGGGAAGGCTTTACACTAAATGTTGGAATGTTACTGTGAGGATTGATTGCATTCAGTGGCAGGAGCGCTAGTGAGATCAGGTATTGATGTTGGATGGGTAGTTCTGGATCACAAACTCCACTCCAGCTTATTCCAAAGGTATTGGTTGGTGCTCCATCACTCTAGAGAATGCAGTTCTGCACAGCTCTTGCTGAGGGCTTCATACCCTTCTAGCCTACGCTTGGCATTGGACATGGTGACCTTAGGCTCATGTGTGGCTGCTCCAGAACGTCCTGTTCTATTGTCAGTGCTTTTCTGTGGAGATTATACAAGCTGTGTGTGCATTTGAACTTCTGTGTCAGCAGTGAGTGCACCTCAATGCAGCTGAATTCACTAATAAGAAGGGGTGTCCACAAACCTTTGGACATTTGCATGTTTGACTAACTTCCATTCAAAGTTAAGAACCTGTGTCTTGTGTCTGCTCTGTACACTTTTTCTTCGCATAATTTTGGGCAATCGCTAAAACACAGTAATAGCTTGAGTTGAAGCTTAATCAAATAAAAGAACATAATAAAATCACAATTCAGTAAAGGTTGTGGTTGTAGCATACTGTTACTGTCTATAATGTGGTCACAGAACTGTGATTAATCTCTGTAGAAAGAACGAAATTGCGAATATGACGTGAACTCTACTCTCCAGGCCGTTTTGTCTGAGGATGTGGTATCCATTGCTGCTTAGCCTGATGCTTATTTGTTTAAGAATGCTTTCCTTGAGGCCATTTCAGCTGAGGTCCAATTGTGTGAGATCTTAAATTTGACTCTTTCCTGAGATCCAAAGTAATTCTGTCTGATATCTGAAACCGAGATGCCATGGTCTTTGGATGTCCTAAAATGTCCACCATATCATAAGTGGCTTTTCCTACAAGCATGAACTCTACCTGCTCCAACAGCACAGGGTGACACCTCCCCCACAAACCAACACTACCAGTGCATTCAACCAGAGCAGCTCAACAGCCACATTTCTAGAACAAGCTTATCAATGATAGTTACAATACATTTGGTTTTAATTAATGTAGGATATTATAGCACTCAACATGTTTGAGTTCAGTTATGTTCATACTTGCGTCTTGCTATGGTTTGCTTGAAATAAATGTGTTGGTCAGTCTTTGTCACCTCCATTGAATTTGGGAGGGACTTAGGCTGTGCAGAAAGTGTTTAGGCAATATAAATCTTGAGTTCTGAAATAAGCAGGACTTTAAACCTACATTAAGACCAGCTGTTTGGTCAGATTGTTCCTCATGAGGAACAACACATGCTGGTTTTTTCAAGTGTGTGAATTTGTTTCAGAATGTCCTGTTTCCTAAGTAGGACCACAATAATTTTTTGGTGTGTGTTTTCAGCTCGATTTCCTGCTGTCTTTATTGCAGATGAGTTGGAAGCCCTGGGAGGTCCAAGAGACATCTTGATTGTAATCCATGCCTCACAAAAGTAACTACTAATCATTTTCCATGAGTTGAGAAGCATTTTTATTCTAATAAAATGCAAAGCTGACATCGTATGAGTAACCACCTTCTGCAGAACTTGTAAAACAGGAACATTGGGTTACAGGGGGAACATTAGTCTGCCACAACTTTCAGCTTCCTTCCTCATATGTGTATAAGCAGGGTAAAAGGCCTTTTAACCTTACAGTAACAAGTAACCTGCAATGTGTTCTGTTTTTTCTCGTAAATCAGAGTTTGAAGAGAACCTCCAAGGTTGTTGGTTAAATCTTTTTTTAAAGTTGATGTGACTAATAACTATCAACATTGTGCTCCAGGCTTTGTAGAAGAGGCCTTGTGTAATTATGCCCTCAATGTATGGTGTCACTAATACACCATAATAAGTCAGGTCAAATTTTAAAGTTTTT